CTTTAAATGTAGTGAGTGGATATGTACTTTTCTCATGGATAGTGCCATTACTTAAGATGTTTTTGAAATTCCTTTTATACAATTGCTTTTAGCCACCATTAGAAAAATTATTTTTCACTGTCCACAGCAGGATTCGAGGAGACCCACAGAGCTCTGTGTTCACTTGGGAAACCATTGTTCCCCAGACTCTCTCTGTACCCACGTAGGATGAAAATAGGTACAGAGGGAGGCAAACTGCCAGCAAGATCTCGCCCCACACCTGTCCCTGCTCACCTTATTAATGCCTCGGACTAAGAAGATGAGAATTAGAACTGACTTTTAGCCTCCTTTTGGGAGGTGCTCAGAATTAGTCACCCTATGTCTTCAATTTTCATTTACCTCAGGCACCACAAGCCCCATTCTATCTGAGATCTGAACTCACACCCATCAAGTTCTAAATACCCCCAAACTGATTCCATCTCCCCATTCCCAATGCTTACCCAGTGCAGTCTGGAAAGCTGGCACCTACAAACCCAACCCCTCCCCTGAAGCATTCTCCACCTCTTTGTTGAACACTTCTTTCCCCTTTTTGATCTAATTGAAACCTAGCTATTCTACAAAGACATGGCTTCTCAACACCCACAAGTATTCCAGCACACAACATAGATGCCTAGAAAATGTGTAATAGGAGAATGATTCATAGTATCATTAATTTAGATTTAGACCTTGGGCAGATGGACAAAATAGGATGAAAACAAAATTAGATACTGACAAGTTATCTATGTGTTAATACCTGGGGCTCAAATCAGGTGAAAAACTGTGGCTGAAGGGAATGATTAGGCATTGATTTCAGAATCACTACTAAAGAAATGAGAAACCCAACAACCTCTCTTCAGAAATAATAAAAGAAAAGAGATTTCACACCAAACTTCAGAAGACACTCACAAAGCATAATAAAGAGGGAAAAACACCAAAAGGTAGAATATAAATGAAGAAAGAGGAAAAAAAAGTTAAAAATAGAAAGGAACAAGTTTATAACAACCTGGAGTATGAGCCACCTTCTGGAGCATTGGTCAGTACAAAGTTCACTGTTCTGAATTTACAAAGATGCAAAACGCTTAGGCCATGAAGTTAGAGGGGCCTTCACACATTATGAAGAGATACATTAAAGAGGAGAAAAGACAAAAACAGGAGGTTACAGATAAGGATGGGTAAATGAGACATTCTCAGGAGGACAGTGAATAAAATCATTGCTGATATCTGACCAAATGGCCTGAGCGGAAAGCAGATACAGCTTTCGGGTTCTGCTTCTAAATATCGTGGCAAACCCAATCCATCTTCATATTAGTGAAAAGGAAAATACAGCATATACTATCGCTCGCCCTTAGGAACAGAGAATCCAGAGTTCTAGCTCCACTTTGAAAGAATTCCTACGACAGGGTGTGAAAGTGAACCAATTAGTGGGTCAAAGAACTGATAAGATGCCAGTAGCTAAGGAGATACAAGAACCAGTGCATCAATTTGCTTCCTGCTGGGCAGCACTTAAATGGGGACAGGTGCTTCTCCTTCTGACTTAAGCGATTCCTACAAAAAAAGCTAAAGGTTTATGGCTACACTTTTTTTCTTGTCACTGTCAAAAAGACATTTAATATCTTTATTCAGTGGTGTGCTAAAAAAAAAAAAAAAACCCTTTGATTTTCACGCATTTGTTTGTTTTGCAAGCCTAATTGTTAACTACAGGTTTCTATGGTGTAAATCTCTCACTAGGACCCATTTCAAGCTGACAGCACGTGGTCCCTGAAGAGGACCCAGTTAGGATTATGTACAAAAAGCTTTGTGAGTCAGTGGAAGCTGGCTCCAGATGGTCAAGCATGACTTAACCCTTAGGAGGTTCTCTGCAGAGGGCAATCTGATGACCATTACGTTGAACAGTGCTTAGCCAGGTTTAATGTGCATAGGAGTCGATGGGGGACCTCGTTAAAGTGCAGGGGCTGATATGCTCAGTGCTGCTAGTCCCTAGCAGGGCATATGAGTGGACCAGAGAAGAAAAACTGTCCTTCACAGCCTTACCGCTCACTGCCTGAGATGTTTAAGAGGGAGATTTCCTAGAGAAGTCCTAAACTGTATGTCCCTAAGATAGACTTTTCTCCTTTTAATAAATTACATGCTACTTTTTAAATTTGAGTTGGGAATCAATATCATAAATATTCGTATTTCCAGCTTCGGGGGGGATAGGAGTGTGGGGTGTACAGCAAAAACTACAAGGAAAGATGCAACAGTACTCTGCCCCTTCTCATGCGGTAATGTGCCTTTTACCACTCTTGTTTCCTCATCATCTTCATAGCTTTATTTTTCCCACCTCAGCTCTGCACAAATGTGAAAGCATTCATTCTCAGGTATAATAATGTGTATAATTTCCTCCCCACTCACAGTAACCCATATTCCTGTCTCCTTTCCTATCATCCCCCACATACCAACTGTATACTCCTAAAATGCTTTACCCCGTTTCCTTACAATACACCATCTTTTTCTCTTTTAAGCTTTACAGTGACCCTCTGCTTCCAGAACATACCCCATGCTCTGCTGAAAACAGTCCACATTATACTTCAAAACTCAGCTGGACTGTCACCTCCTCAAGGAGGCCTTCCTGAGTCTCCTCAGCTCTTCTGACATAAGACTAGATCCCCTTCTAGCACAATTGTGCTTACTTAGAGCATCTCTTATTCTCTGAGACGTATAAAGGCCTGGGTGAGCTTCCGTGTTTGCATTGCCCTGAAAGAAGATTTTGCCATATAGAAAATACTCAATGGCTTTATCAAACAATAAACTATGAACTAATTTTCATTGCAAGATTATAATCTCTTGAACCTTTTTTTGAAGATTGTCAAGGGAATTTTGAAATTATTATCCCATAATATACATGTTAATTATCTTTCTATATCTATTTTTAGCTCTTTTGCAGGCTCTCGCCTCCCCTGAACTTCAATTTTAGTGTTATTTACTTGGTTATAGAATATAATTTGTTCTATAAATCTGATCCCAGATAAACATAGACCACCTCCAATTAAACATGCCTTGTGTTTTGCTTCATACTTTCACCTTATGATCTTTTCTTTAATACAATCTACTAACACATTTTATTTTCATACTAACCCTGTAAAATATACAAGCAAAATATTCCTTTGCTTTTTGGTATTTAGAGACTCCAGTGAAATGATCCTCATGAAATGGAAGCAAGAAAAACAGAAAGCTCAAGGAAAAGTCTTGGCAATGCCCCCCGCTGTGCTCAGCAGGGAAGACTGCTCCTGGGTCTTCTCTGAGCATCATCCCTCAGTAAGGCTCTCAGGTTAAAGCCTTACCTCATTCCTCTTGTGCACTTCTCTAATTTTCTCACTTTTTGCTGGAAAAACAGAGGGCCAGACTTGTTGAGTTTACATGTTTTAGAGCCAAAGTATTATCCATACCTTTTGATTTCCAATGAAGATTCCATAGAACCTAACTATGCTCACCTTTACAAACAAAGCTATAATCATGCAGCAGTTCTGATATGTCTCATAAGTCAACCTTTCAGAAATACTTAAAAGTGATAAAATCTGTGCCTGTGTATATGTATGTGTCATACTGAGGATCTAGCACAGGAATTCACTAAAGCAAGGCAAGCCTTTTTACCATTGATCTAAATCTCCTGCACAGTCTTGTGTCCTTTTATCAAAACCAAGTTCTATATAAGGACCCAGAATTCTCTCCTTAATTTGATGGAATTAATTGCACTTGAAAACTTTACAATGACCAAGTGCAATTACTCTTAAGTGTAAGAAAATTTCTAATCTATAAATTAATTTATAGATTAGAATTTATTAATTTATGGTTTTCCACTTTGTGTCACTTTCAAATCAACACCAGATATTCAATTTGTGTGTTCTTTTTAGAAATGCATTTTTAGAAACACCTGGATGGGATGTGTGTCCAAGGTTTAGCCACGTGACCAATTAACAGTAAATTAATAGAAGACAGCAATATTACCAGCAAAAGGAACTGAAGAGCTCCATTTGGTAATGGTGGGAGGAAGGAAGTATCCTCTGTGATTTGGGAAGGAGCAGCAAAAAGGTGGAAATGGCACAACTGGAAGACGTAATGGTCCATCTTACATGTCTAATCATTTACTCAGAATCTTGATATGACCCCAAGGGTGCCTACACTCAGTCATAACAATGGGGGTACTATCCCTACTTCCTCCCCAGGTATACCTTGAACAATGACAACTGGGCTAGAAAGGGACACTATTTGTGCTTCGCTGTGAAGACTGGAAGGTCCAATGTCTTCTTTCTCAGCCTTCACTCATTGTCCCTACATCAGTGACTCCCTCAAATGACTGCCATTTCTGCTTCACTCTCAGGAGAAGAACTCTATCTCTCCTTTCCAGTCTGTTTTGTGCACTCCTTCTCCCGACCATGTCTCCCTTATAAAAAAGAAGGACCCGTCTAAAATATTTTTCCTACTAATATATATTTGTATTTTTAACATATAATTACTTGCTAATCCATAAAAGACACTGCGTGAAAGTCGCACAAATAACTGAATAGATAGCCTGGCAGTTGAGGGAAAAATGAGAGGATTCAATTTTTAACTTTTAAAATCATTATTTGAAATATTTTTATCATAAATTTTAAAAGACTTTTATTTAAAAATAGAAAAGAATTATAAGAGCAAAATGTTCTCTGGCAATTATGAAAAAGGCACTGAAATAAAAAGAGAGATGTGCGACTGCTCTGAACCTTTCTAAAACTTTACCCCAACCTGCATTTCTAAACCACAAGGGGGTAATGCTGTACCAAATCAGAAGTGGCCCAAAAGAAAACACTTATTTCCAACTGAACTCAAGTTGGGGAAGTTCCCAGAAAGAGACTGGGGTTCGTTTTAGAGCGATAACAGTGCTCGGAAATCAGAACAACGTGGTATGTGTGCGGTGGGGAACCCCAGCAGGTTGGGGGCACCTGGAGAGATGTGAGGCGCCGACTCACCCCCCAGCCAGTTGTCCGAGACGTTCTGCAGCATCGTGACCGGGATGCAGAAGAAGGTGATCAGCAGGTCGCTGAGCGCCAGCGAGCAGATGAAGATGTTGGTGACGGTGCGCATGGCTTTGCTGCGGGTCACCACGTAGACCACCAGCGCGTTGCCAAAAAGCGCCAGGACGAAAATGAGCACACCGGTGAGCACGAAGGCTAGCTTGGCGCGCGCAGGCAGCTCCGGGGTGTAGACGAGCGGCCGCAGCCCATACAGGGCGATGAACTGCTCCCTCGTCAGGTTGTGGTCCCGCAGCAGCCGCGAGAACTGCTCCGGGGTGATGTTGAGCGCCTGCATGTCTTGCGCTCCGGGGCACCCGCTTGCTTAGCGCGCAGGGGCTGGGGGTCTCTGGGATGCACCCCAGCAGGTGCGGGAGGAGGTCGGCAGCGCACTGATCAAGCCCACAATAAAAAGGTGCGAACCCGTGCGTGACAGACTCAACTCATTGTCCAGAAATGTTCTGAGCTCCAGAAAACCAAAGTTCTCCCCAGGGCTGGTCCGAACCAGGCGTTGCGCTCCTCCAGAGTATCTGAAGAGCCGAGCGCCAGCGAAGACAGGGCGCCGATTCTGGCTCTAGATTTCCAGACTCGCAGCGCAAGGAGAGCCGCACTGGGCGCGGAGAGGGTGGGGCCCAACCTCGCTCTCCGCCCTAGCCAGCTCCTGAGCGCCGCCTCCCACTTGGTTCCCACAGCCCAGAACAGCAGGAGTACCCCACCAGCCTGCCCAGCGGACTTCTCAACCCCAGCTCATGCTTAGATGCAAAGTCATTTTTCTGTGGGCTCCAGGTTTCCCCTCTTGCTAAGGTCAGTCACAGCAGGACTTATTTGAAATTATTTTGTGTACTAAAAATAATTGCAGAAGACAGGGAAATGCATTAATAGTACAGAGACTCCCCTGTACCCTTCCACTGAATTTTCCTATAGATTACATCTTTATCATGGTACAGCATGAAACTAGAAATTTGACAGATACAATATTTGTGCACAGTTCTCTGTGTATGTTTAAACTAAGAACTGATTCATTCAGCCACTACCAAAAGCAATCTATAGAAGCCTTCTCGCCTGAAGGATTTCTAGCACGGTCTCCTTTCGGCCTGACCTTCCTTCCTCCACCGCGTCTGACCCTCAGCAATCACTGGTCTGTCTGTTACACAGTTCTGTAATTTTTTTCAGGCGGTTATACATGTAGAATCATCGTACCGTATGTGAGCTTTTGATGATTTTGATGCACTTTAAGTTTACTCTGAAAGTTGTGTGTGTTAACAGCTGTTCCTCTTCATTGTGACCGTGTACCACAGTTTATTTATCCTTTCACTTATTGGAAATTTTACCTGCTACCAGCTTTGAGCTTCTACACATAAAGCTACTAGGAAGAATCAAACACTGATTTTCATGTTGATACAATTTTTCATTTCTATGGAAAATGGCAAGAACTTTGATTGCTGAGTCAGTGATGCAATAGTGGGTTTAATTTTTACACACTGTCAAGGTAGTTTACAGAGTAGCTGAACCAATTTACATTCTTACCGGTGATGCATGAAAAATTCATTTTTGTACACATACTTGCTAGAATTTGATATTATCCTGTTTATTTGTGCTGTTCTAATAGACAGGCAGTGATATCTCACTGAGATTTTAATTTGTATTCCTCTAATGATGTGTGATTTTGAAAATTCTATGTGCTTGTTTGATTAGTATAGTATCTTTTTTGGCAAAATGTCTTCCAAGTGTTTTGTTCATTTTCTAATTTTTTAAAAATATATTTAGTACAGGGTCTCACTATACAGATCCAACTCGTAGAGGTCCCCATGTTTTCAGCTTCCAAGCGCTGGGGTTACAGGCGTGGGCCACCACCCCCAGTCTTAGTCGTGCTCTCATCACACACTGGGGACAGGGCTGGCACTGCATGGGGCTCGAACCCTGGTCCCCTAGTGCTTGCCTAAGCAGGCACTTTAGTCTGCTGAGCTATCTGGCGGGCCCTTCATTTTCTAATTAAACTGTTCTATTTGCTGTTCAAATGAGAATTCCTTTTATATTCTAGATACAAGTCCTTTGTGAAGTAATTTGAAAAGATTTTCTTTTAGTGTGTAGCTTGTTATCTTCCTGACAGTATCTTTCACAAAACAAAATTTTTAATTTTTAGTTGAGAAACAAATATCAATGAGACAGTTTCAAAACTGGTTAACAGGACATTTTCCATAATTAATACATTGTACATTGTTACCTTCTTAGTGGTTATCCATAATGTAAGACGCAAACAGGATATCCTGTCCAAACACTATTACTACAAATCTTCTAATTGAATTAAGTGAAAGTAGCTGTATATCTATCCTAATTATTCTGTATATACAAAAACAAAATGGTCCTTCCTTTGTATCCCCTTTTTTTGTTTAGTCCTGTCAGAGATGGGTATTCCATTAGCATCTAAATATTATAGGTGCTTGAACTTAGCAGAACAATCCAACACAGTCCAGCAGTCCACAATGGTAGTAGGTTATCCACAGAAGTTGTTGACTAGAGCCTTTGACATACAACTCAGCATATTAATATGGCTTTACTTTATATACCTTGTTTTTATGCTTTTCTGCTGGAGGTTAAGACCAAGACCTATGTAACAAGAAATGTAACTTTTGTATCTGACAACATCAGTCAAGTCCACTCAGGATCTCTTTTCTGTTCCTTGATATAGACACAGAGTCTGACTCTCCTCCACTGTCTTAGTTAATGTAGCTACATACAGCAATAAATCTCAACATTGAGTATAGTCATTTCTCCTGTTTCCTATTCCTGCTTATGTATATGAATTTTACAATAAGCTTGTCCACATCTACAAAAATCCTTTCTATCATGAGTATAATTCTCTTCATATATTTATCTTGCAAGGACATTTTTTAGTTCTCACATGTAAGTCCTGCACATATTTTGTTAAATTTGTAACTAAGTATTTTCAGTATACCAAAATAGATTAAGTAATGCCTAAGTATTTCATTTGTAAATAGTATATTTCTAATGTTTGGTTACATGTGTTCATTACTAATATTTACAAATGTGATTTTATTTTTATATTAGTCTTGAATTTTATAGTCTTGATACATGAATTTCAAAGAGTTTTTCTCTTGGATAGTTTTCTTGGAATTTTCTGCATAAAGAATCATGTCATCTGAGGGGAGGGACAATTTTATTTCTTCCTTTCCGAAATGTATGTTTTCTTTTACTTTTTGCCTTTTTGTAATAGAAAGTCCAGGCCTACACAAATGACACTAATGAGAGGTGATTTTCTGCTTTTGCCCCTGTCTTGGGGGAAGTGCTGAACCTTCTTTCACTATTAAGTATAATGTAGTTAGGAATGTTCCTTATGAACTTGAGGAAGTTCTCCTTTATTGTGTTACTATTGATGTCATTGAATTTTGTCAAATGCTTTGCTGCATTAATTAATATGATCATGTGATTTTTTTTTTCATTTTCAGCCTGTGAAAATGATGGATTCTGTTGACTGGCCTTTGAATATTAAATGGGTCTTGAATATCCAAGATGAAATCCACTTAGTCCTGTAGTATAATTATGTTAATATATTGCTGAATTCTAGTAACTATAATTTCTAAAGGCTCCCATGTTTATTTTCATGAGAAATATATGTCTGTACATTATTTTTTCTTTTGTACTGTCTTTTCTTATGTCTTAGTACTCAGGGAATTATAACTTCATAGAATGAATTGGAAAGTAGTTGCTTTTTGGATGAACTTATATTGAGTTAGTGTTAGTTCTTATTTAAAATTTGGTATTAGGGCCCCTAAATTTAAAGACCCAATCCAGAAATGGGCATCTGAGATGAACACACACTTCTCAGAGGACGAAATTAAAGAAGCAAATAAATATATGAAAAAATGCTCCACATTACTAGCCATCTGTGAAATGCAAATTAAAACAACACTGAGATACCATCTCACCCCAGAAAGAATGGCTATCATAAAGAAATCAACCAACAACAAATGTTGGAGAGGCAGTGGGGAAAAAGGAACACTTCTCCACTGCTGGTGGGAATGTAGACTGGTGCAACCATAATGGAAATCAGTACGGAGACTCCTTAGAAAACTAGGACTAGAAATCCCATTCAAGCCTGCTATCCCCCTACTGGGAATATTCCCAGAGGAAGTGAAAGCATCATATCATAGTGATATATGTGTACCTATGTTTATAGCAGCACAATTTGTGATAGCCAG